AGAACCTTAAATTGCACCTATGTCTCCCAACCTGGGTGGCAGGAACCCAAGTATTGGGGCCATTTTCTGCTGTTTTTCCAGATGCATTAGCAGGAAGCTGAAAGGGAACCTGAACTGGTACTCTGATTTGGGATGCTGGCATTGCAAGTGGCAATTTAACCTACTGTGCCACAATGCTGACTCCAAATGCATTTTTTTAAAAAGATTTTATTTATTTATATGACAGGTAAAGTTACAGACCGTGTGAGAGAGAGAAACAGAGAGAAAGGTCTTCCTTCCGTTGGTTCACTCCCCAAATGGCCGTGCTGTGCCGATCCGAAGCATGGAGTCAGGAGCTTCTTTCTGGTCTCCCATGCGGGTGCAGGGGCCCAGGGACCTGGGCCATCCTCCACTGCTATCTCAGGCCATAGCAGAGAGCTGGACGGAAGAGGAGCAGCCGGGACTAGAACCGCGTGCATATGGGATGCCTGCACAGCAGGCGGAGGATCAACCTACTGTGCCACCGCGCAGGCCCCTCCCCCCCAAATGCATTTTAAAGATTTTTTTTTAAACAATAAGATTAAAATAAAGATATATATATATATATATATAAATTGTTATTTGAAAGACAGAGTTACAGAGAAAGGGAGGGGGAGAGAGAGAAACAGAATCTTGCATCCACTGGTTCCCTCCCCAGATGGCCACAACAACCAGGACTGAGCCAGGCCGAAGCCAGGAGCCAGGAACTTCTGGGCCTCCCATGGGGGTGCAGGGTGTCAAGCACTTGGGCCATCTTCTGCTTTCCCAGGCATATTAGCAGGGATCTGGATTGGAAGTGGAGCAGCCAAGACTCAGACCGTAGCCCATATGGGATGCTGCCACTGCAGGTAGCAGTTTAACCTGTTAAGCCACAGTGCCAACCCCCAAATACAACATTTTAAGAGCATGTAGTTATAAACATAATTTTAAAACTTGGTACTATATTTCATGAATTCAGTATTATTACTGTATAACCCCCCTATTCCTAAATACTTGCTGCAAACTGCAACAGATATGGAAAACAAATTTAGGAAAGTTGTTTTTTTTGTTGTTGTTCAGCAGTTTGATACAATTTTTTTTAAGATTGATTTATTTGAAAGGCAGAGATACAGAGAGAGGAAGATCTTCCATCTGCTGGTTCATTCCCCAAATGACTGCTGTGGCCAAGGCTTGGCCAGGATGAAGCCAAGGAGCTTCATCCCCGTCTCCCAGATGGGTGCAGGGACCATCTTCCACTGCTTCCCAGGCATATTAGTAGGGGCTGGATTGGAAGTGGAGCAGCCAGGACTCTAACCTGGCCTGTATTAGATGCCAGTATCACAGGCGGTGGCTTAACTGGCTATACCACAACACTGGCCCCAATTTGGTACAATTTTAAGATAGCAAGAAATGCTTTTGCATGTATTTTATTTTTTTGCATATATTTTAATAGATAAATGTTGTAAAAGAGCTACTTGTTTTGTTTTTTCTTGTATTGTATTTGCCATTATGTCATAGGTAGAACAAGATAATTTGTGAATTTGTAGCCTCACATTTAAATTACGCAGACTTTAGCTTTTTTTTTTTTTTTTGACAGGTAGAGTTATAGATAGTGAGAGAGAAAGAGACAGAGACAAAGGTCTTCCTTCCGTTGGTTCACTCCCCTAATGGCTGCCATGGCCGGCGCTGCGCCAGTCCGAAGCCAGGAGCCAGGTGCCTCCTCCTGGTCTTCCATGCAGGTGCCGGGGCCCAAGCACCTGGGCCATCCTCCACTGCCCTCCCGGGCCACAGCAGAGAGCTGACCTGGAAGAAGAGCAACCGGGACTAGAACCCGGTACCCATATGGGATGCCAGCGCTGCAGGCAGAGGACTAACCAAATGGGCCATGGCGCCGGTCCCCTAGCATTTTTTTTTTTTTAAGATTTATTTATTTTTTATTTGAAAGAGAGAGAGAGAGAAGGAGAGGGAGAGGGAGGGAGGAAGATTGTATCCGCTGGTTCACTTCTCAGATGGCCACAATGGCCAGTGCTGGACCAGGCCGAAATCAGGAGCCAGGAGCTTCAGCCGGGTCTCTCATGTGAGTAACAGGGGCCCAAACACTTGGCCAATCTTCCGCTGCTTTTCCCAGGCCATTAGCAGGGAGCTGGATTGGAAGCAGAACAACTGGGACATGAACTGGTGCCCATATATGATGCTGGCATCTTAGGCAGTGTCTTTACAATGCTGGTCCCTGACTTCAGCTTTTAATTTATCCTTTTTTTCCCTCAAGGTTCATATAAATTATGGAAATTGTTGCTTTAGGTAAACCATATGCATGTTAGATACGAAAGGTGAGGATTTGTTCTTTTCAGTTTACTGGTCGAGTTAGATAGTTTTTAGTCATATTCAGGCACAAAGAAATGTACACATTGCTTTTCTTTTTTAAGGATTTATTATTATTTATTTGAGTCAGAGCTACAGAGAGGAGGGAGAGACAGAGATATCTTCCATTCTGCTGTTTCTCTCCCAAGGGGCCACAATGGCCAGGACTGAGCCAGGCCTAACCCAGGAGCTACATCTAGGTCTCCCACTTTGGTGGCAGGGGCCCAAGGACCTGGACCATCTTCCGTTGCTTTTCCAGGCCATTAACAGGAAGCTGGATTTGAAGTGGCACAGCCAGGGCATGAACTGGTGCCCATATGGGATGCTGGCATCACAGGTGGCAGCTTTTACCCATTATGCCACAGTGCTGGCCCCCACACATTGCTTTTTGATGTTCTGTCATGTCCTTAGTCACATTTCATTCCTCTATAGTTATGTATGTTGATTTTATGGCTAATAATATACTATATGGATTGGAGTGGTGTCTTCTGTCAGTATCTCAAGGATCACACAAATAAAGGGCAAAACATTTAAAACATAAACAAAAAACAAAAGCCAAGCTTTTGTAAATACTGCAGTTTAATTTTGAGTGGTAGAGTTCTTAGTAGATAATGAGATTTGTAGACAGGAATCATTATCCAACTGTATTAACTTTTTGTTAACCTTCAAGTATATGAAAGGAACTACTTATGAAGAAAAGAGGTTTATTTCAGCTTACAGTTTTGGAAGTTTACAGAACAGCTCAGGATGGTCCCATAGGTTTTCACATCTGGTAAGGTGAGAGGGTAGCAGAAGGATGATCACGTGGTGAGGCAGGAAGCTGAGAGATGGCACACTCTTCATCTTACCTCTGTGTGGTCTTTCCCACTTAGTGCCCCATTCTAGCAGTCTATCCAATCCTATCCCTTCCCAAAGGCCCCACCTTCAAACACTATGATCAGATCAAAACCCACCCTGACCATCAACCATTTACATTAATCTATTCACTGTTATAAGACGACTTTGGAATTTAAATATCTGCATGCAGTTGAGGATCCAAATCCTGTTTAAATTGTAACACCAACAAATACTGTCTATTGCCAGAGCGTATGGTAGGCTTCAGTGATCCAAGTGAAGAACAAGGTGAGATGGTACCTGTCCTCATGAAATTTGAACTGTAGCAAGGAATATGGCATTAAATACACAATTTCAAGTTATAGGAGACAAATAGGCTGCTGTGAGAATGCATGAGAGTGATTGTAGGGAGTGTTTGTATGGCAGAAGTGTTGGGGAACAGTTTTCCCAGCAGGAAGTCTTCAACACGTTTAGAGGATTTGGAGGTAAGAGATGATGGAGTGGCTTTCTAAGAACTAAAGAAAGGGCAGTGTGGCTGCAGTGAAGAAATCAAAGTGAGGGATGTTGGATGGCAGCCAGCCAGCAAACTTTTTTTTTTTTTTTTTTTTAAATCAGAGACCTGGTGGGTGGAGTGGCCAGGAGAGTGGCTCCAAAAGAGGCAAGAAAGCAGATGTTGGAGAGCTTTTCAGTACAGGGTGAGGGTTTGGGGCTCTCTTAACAAAGCAGTGGAAAACCTTGAGGAAAGGCAAAGAGAGGTGGTTTAGAAGATAGAACAGTTAACTCATTTGTAAAGTTTAAAAACAAAGAGACCCTGTGTGTATTTCAGTTTGGACTAGGAGGATGTAGGCATGGAGATACATAGGTGATTTGAAATACACTTTAGGAGATAAAATTGATAAGATATAGAATATATGTAGAGGAATGAACCAGGATAATTAATGTATGCCAGGCACTACCGCTTCACAAATATTAAATTGTTTAATGCTCAGAAAACCCATGAGGTAGGTATTGCTATCACCATGTATAGATGAGGAAACTGAGGCTCGTTGCCTCCCTGAGTTTTGGCTTGAGCTGTTGGCTATATAGTGGCTTCTCATCATTGAGTAGAGGCTCATAAATTTAATTTTGGAGATGCTAAATTTGAAGTGTCTGTAAGATAGTCAAGTTGCAGTATCAAATTGTGCATTTGAATGTAGAGTTTGGAATTCAAAAGAGAGAGATGTGTGGGTTAGAGATAGATTTCAGTCTCTTGCAGATGACCAATCCTGGGGACTAGTTATTGAAAAGGGGACAAGTGTAGAGGATGGGGGTGGGGATTCATATAGAATCCCAAGTCCTATGAATTTCAGATGATTGAGAATGGAGAATAGCTAGGTCGCATGTTTGTTTGGACTTTATTCTGAAAAGATACCTTTGATTTTGTCTGGACTTTATTGAACTTGAAGTTACTGTGGGATACTTAGGGACAGAAAGCTTGACTGTTCTCTCTCTTCTGTAGTTTTCTAATAACTTTTCTCTGTTCTTCAGGCGATCTCTCTAGCTTCCTCAGCATCCTCATTACTTTATTCTGGTCAGCTTATTGACGGTCCTCTTCAAATGTATGAGGCAGAGCTGAACCCTATGTTATGTATGACCTGAGCAGAGTGGATAACTTCACTTTCCTGAGTATGGGTTAAGATTGAATTAGCTTCTAAGAAGAAGGAAATGTTATTACATGTTTTGTTCATCAACTACAGGTGTTTTTGATAATAAGCTACTGCTCGTATCTCTTACCCTTGTGGTTTCATTTTTCCTTTTTTTCAATGTAGGTATGGCATCACAGCTGCAGGTGTTTTCCCCCCCATCAGTGTCGTCGAGTGCCTTCTGCAGTGCGAAGAAATTGAAAATAGAGCCCTCTGGCTGGGATGTTTCAGGACAGAGCAGCAACGACAAATATTATACCCACAGCAAAACCCTCCCAGCCACACAAGGACAAGCCAACTCCTCTCACCAGGTAGCAAATTTCAACATCCCTGCTTACGACCAAGGTCTCCTGCTCCCAGCCCCTGCAGTGGAGCATATTGTTGTAACAGCTGCTGATAGCTCAGCTAGTGCTGCTACGTCAACCTTCCAAAGCAGCCAGACCCTGACTCACAGAGGCAACGTTACTTTGCTTGAGCCATATCAAAAATGTGGATTGAAAAGAAAAAGTGAGGAAGTTGACAGCAACGGTAGCGTGCAGATCATAGAAGAACATCCCCCTCTCATGCTGCAAAACAGGACTGTGGTGGGTGCTGCTGCCACGACCACCACTGTGACCACAAAGAGTAGCAGTTCCAGCGGAGAAGGGGATTACCAACTGGTCCAGCATGAGATCCTTTGCTCTATGACCAACAGCTATGAAGTCTTGGAGTTCCTAGGCCGGGGGACATTTGGACAGGTAGCTAAATGCTGGAAGCGGAGCACGAAGGAAATTGTGGCTATTAAAATCTTGAAGAATCATCCCTCCTATGCCAGACAAGGACAGATTGAAGTGAGCATTCTTTCCCGCCTAAGCAGTGAAAATGCTGATGAGTATAATTTTGTCCGTTCTTATGAGTGCTTTCAACATAAGAATCACACCTGCCTTGTTTTTGAGATGTTGGAGCAGAACTTATATGATTTTCTAAAGCAGAACAAGTTTAGCCCACTGCCACTCAAGTACATCAGACCAATCTTGCAGCAGGTGGCCACAGCCTTGATGAAGCTCAAGAGCCTTGGTTTGATTCACGCTGACCTTAAGCCTGAAAACATAATGCTGGTTGATCCAGTTCGCCAACCCTACCGAGTGAAGGTCATTGACTTTGGTTCTGCCAGTCACGTTTCCAAAGCTGTGTGCTCAACCTACTTACAGTCACGTTACTACAGGCAAGTGGTAAATTATAAAAACCATATTTTATGTTAGAGAGCTGTTCTTATATTTAACATGTTACCTAGAGCTACATATAACAGTGAATTCATTTATTTACAGATCCTGAGATAAAAACAGTGTTTTAGCTAATTTCATTTGTGTGACATCCCTTTATGTAGCATTATCTTATTTCTGAAATTTTAGTTAGCACTAGAAAATGCTAACTCAATGTGATTTTGAAGGCTAGTTGAATTATACTAGCATCTGGGTTATTCTTTAATAGCATTATCCTTAGTTTTCACATTTTAAAAATGTTTAAGTGTTACTTATTTGTAATGAATTTAGGCATATGCTGCTGTTTTTTGCCTAGCCTCTCTTATTGGCAAATAAACTGCCTTGGGTGTAACTTGATGTAACTCTAGCAGCATTTTATTGTTTTACATTTTCTGTTTTCTATAATATAATTGAATTAGATGATTGCTGTTGTCTTTTTTCCTGTTTTAACCTTCTCATTCATGCTTTAACTTATTTAGTTATACTGGGATGACCTTGCCTTGAGTACCTTCTGTATACTTTAATGATTTGTATTTCCGTACTGATTCTTCTATTGTGATTTACCTTTTTAATATATAGTAATTAATGGGACAGTACTTAAATGCTAGTATATGCAATTTTATCTTGACAATTACCAATGGTTTTCAAATGTGCTTTTTTTTTAAAAAAAACGTGCTTTTACTTTTCACATGTAAGTATTTCAAGGAATCATAAGTTTTGGTGGTCATACTTTATTTATTTAAATATTTTATTTAGTTTGAGAGGCAGAGTTACAGAGAGAGGGAGAGACAAAGGTTTTCCATCTGCTGGTTCACTCCCCGAATGGCTGCAATGGCTGGAGCTGGGCCAATCTGGAACCAGGAGCCAGGAAGTTCTTCTGGGTCTCCCACACGGGTGCAGGGGCCCCAGCACTTGGACTACCTTCCACTGCTTTTCCTGGCCATAGCAGGGAGCTGGATTGGAAGAGGAACAACTGGGATATGAACTGGCACCCATATGGGATGCCGGTACCACAGGCAGAGGCTTAGCCCACTACGCCGCAGCACTGGCCCCAGTGGTCATACTTTAAATACAAATAATACAAATACCCAATCAATAAACAAAAAATAGACAACTGCAAAATAGTTTTTTTTAAGATTTATTTATTTATTTGAGAGAGTGGGAGTGTGTGTGTGTGGGGGGGAGGAAGCTCCTGGCTTCTGATTTTGGATCATTGCAGCTCTGGCCATTGTGACCAACTGGGGAGTGAGCCAGCAGATGGAGGACCTCTTTCTCTCTCTGCCTCTCCTTCTTTCTCTGTGTTAACTCTGATTTTCAAGTAAATAAATAAATCTTTAAAACAATAAAATGCTTCCCACATGATTTTTTTTTAATTGTGGTACAGTCTATAACGAAGTTTATTTAGCATTTTAACTGTTTGGTACCATTTGGTAGTGTTAGTTAATTTCACAATGTTATATAACCATCACCACTCTTTATTACATTCACAGTGTTATTAAAACTATCATCAGTATCTAGTCCCACATTTTTTTTAATCACACAAAGCAAATTCTGTAATTATTAGTCAATAATTCCCTGTCTCCTTTCTTCCTATACCTGATAACTTTTTTTTTTTTTTTTTTGACAGGAAGAGTTAGACAGTAAGAGAGGGGAGAGAGACAGAGAGAAAGGTCTTCCTTTTTTTTTTCCATTGGTTCACCCCCCAAATGGTCGCTATGGCTATTGCGCTGCACTGATCCGAAGCCAGGAGCCAGGTGCTTCCTCCTGGTGTCCCATGCGGGTGCAGGGCCCAAGCACTTGGGCCATCCTCCACTGCCTTCCCAGGCCATAGCAGAGAGCTGGACTGGAAGAGGAGCAACAGGGACAGAATCCAGTGCCCAAAGCGGGACTAGAACCCAGGGTGCTGGCGCCACAGGCGGAGGATTAGCCAAGTGAGCCATGGTGCTGGCCATCCTGATAACTTTTAATTAACTTTCTCTCTTTAAGGATTTGCCAATTTCAGATGCTTTATTTAAAAGAAATCATGTAGTGTTTATCCATTTGTTTCCAATTTATTTAACTTAGCCTAATGTTTTTGAGATTAACCCATGTTGTAGCATGTATCACAAATTCATTCCTTTCTGTAGTTGAATAATCCATTGCATATCTATATTGCATTTTATTTATCCATTTATCTGTTGATGGACATTTGGTTGTTACTACCTTGTGCCTGTTTGTAAATAATATTAATGTGAACATAGGTGCTAAGTCTCTGTTTTCTTTTTTTAATCAAAATTTATTTATTTATTTGAAAGGCGGAGTTACAGAGAGACAGAGAAAATCTTCTATTCATAGGTTGACTTTTCAAGTGGCCACCAATGGCTGGAGCTGGGCTGATCCAAAGCTAGGAGACAGGAGCTTCTTCCGAATCTCTTTAGGTGCAAGGGCCCAAGGACTTGGGCCATCTTCTACTGCTTTCCTAGGCTATCAGGAGGGAGCTAGATCAGAAGTGGGCCAGCTAGGACTTGAATCGGGACCCATAGGGGATGCCAGCACTGCAGGCTGTGGCTTTACCCATTATGCCATAGCACCCTAAATCCCTGTTTTTACCTCTTATTGGTAGGTAGCAAGGAATGGAATTGCTGGGTCAAATTCTTGGTTTAAGTTTCTGAGCAACCATCACATTTTCCCAAAGGCTATACTGTTTTACATTCCCACAAGTAATGCATGGGAGTTCTAGTTTCTCCACATCCTTACCAGCATTTGTTAACTTTCAGGATTTTTCTTAAAAAAAAAAAAAAAAAAAAAAAAAAAAAAAAAAAAAAAAATCCATCCATATGGGTGTTAAGTGCTCTCTCTTTTTTTTTTTTTTTTTTTTTTTTTTTTGGATCCACATTTCCCTAAAAATTAGTGATGTTGAGCCTATCATATTATTACTGGCTATTTGTGTATCTGTGGAGAAATGTCTGAGAGTCTGTTGCCCCCCCCCCCCCCCCCCTTTTTTTTGACAGGCAGAGTGGACAGTGAGAGAGACAGAGAAAGAGAAAGGTTTTCCTTTTGCCGTTGGTTCGCCCTCCAATGGCCGCCGCGGCCGGCGCACCACGCTGATCTGAAGGCAGGAGCCAGGTGCTTCTCCTGGTCTCCCATGGGGTACAGGGCCCAAGCACTTGGGCCATCCTCCACTGCACTCCTGGGCCATAGCAGAGAGCTGGCTTGGAAGAAAGGCAACCAGGACAGAATCCCGGTGCCCCGACCGGGACTAGAACCTGGTGTGCCGGCGCCACTAGGCAGAGGATTAGCCTGTTGAGCCACGGTGCCGGCTTGTTGCCCATTTTTAAATATGGTTGTTTTATTGATGAGTTGGAGGTGTTTTTAATATATGCTGGATAGTAATTCCTTATCAAACATGATTTAAAAATATTTTCTCCCTTATGGATGGCTTTTCACCTGCAGAATTTTTTTGTATTGTTTTATTTGAAAGGCAGAGCAACAGAAAGAGAGCAAGGGAGGAATGAGCGAGGGAGAAAGAGAATTTCCAGCCTGGTATGGGCTAGGCTGATACCAGGTGCCAGGAACTTCATCCTTGTCTTTATATGGGTGGTAGGGGCTCAATTATTTGGGTCATCATCTGCCACCTTTCCAGGTGCATTAGTAGGAGGCCGTATTGGAGACAGAGTAGCTGGGACTGGAACTGGCTGGCACTCTGGTATGGGATGCTGGTGTTGTAAGTGATGGCCTAATGTGCTGTGCCACAGTGCCAGCCTGAGAGTGTTGTTTGGTGCTCAAAAGTTTTGTATCTTGACAAAGTCCAGTTTGTCTACTTTTTTTGTTTTAATGCTTCTACTTTTGGTGTCATATCTAAAATACTGCCAAATCCAATGTCATGTATTTTTTTTTTCTTTGTGTTCTGAATTTTTTTGTTTTACAGTTTTACTTATATTTAGGTCTTTGGGTCTGACTTCATTTTTGTGTATGGTGGAAAGGTATAAGTCCAGCTTAATTGTTTTGCTTTTGGATTTTCAGTTCTCAGCAATTTTACTGAAAAGATTATCCAGCCGGCGCCGTGGCTCAATAGGCTAATCCTCCACCTTGCGGCGCCGGCACACCGGGTTCTAGTCCTGGTCGGGGCGCCGGATTCTGTCCCGGTTGCCCCTCTTCCAGGCCAGCTCTCTGCTATGGCCAGGGAGTGCAGTGGAGGATGGCCCAGGTGCTTGGGCCCTGCACCCCATGGGAGACCAGGAAAAGCACCTGGCTCCTGGCTCCTGCCAGGATCAGCGCGGTGCGCCGGCTGCAGCGGTGGCCATTGGAGGGTGAACCAACGGCAAAGGAAGACCTTTCTCTCTCTGTCTCTCTCTCTCACTGTCCACTCTGCCTGTCAAAAAAAAAAAAAAAAAAAAAAAAAAAAAAAAAGAAAAGATTATCCTTTTCCTATTGTCTTGACACGTCATCAAAATCATTTGACCATATATGTAAGAGTTTATTTCTGCATTGTCTGCCTATTCCCTTAGTTTATATATGCCTGTCTTTATGCCAGTACTAAACTGTTTTGATTAGCTTTGTGGTAAGTTTTGAAATCAGGAAATGTGAGGTCTGCAACTTTGTTCCTTTTCAGAATTGTTTTTGCTGTTGAAAGTCCTTGAGATTTCTTAAGGGTTTTAAGATGGATTTTTCTGTTTTGCAAAAAACATCATTGACTTTTACTAATAGTAGTTAGCATTGGATCTGTAGATCACTTTGAGTAGTATTAACATCTTAAGGATATTGTCTCTCAATCTATCCATAATAATTTTTATCTTATTATAGTTTTATAAAATCATGACATCTAAAGGTAAGGTAAAGTAAAGCAACTCTTAGGACTTTTGCTTACTGGTTTCATGCAGCACTAGGCAGTCTGGGCTAATTTTGAGATTGTCACCTCCATTTATTATTTACTTATGTCTTGGGAGATTTACCTTCCAATTACATTCCTTTAAAACTGTTCTTT